TTGATCATACAATAAAATTTAAAAAAATATCGATTAATTTACTAATCTCTTTTGAAAAACATCCATATCATGAATATTATCTTAGACAATCGACTTGTATTTGATGATTTTTTTTAATCATTATATTTCTATTAACAAGCAAACTGAATACGATACTCGAAATCAACATTGAAAATTGAATTACAGAAAGTATTGTTTTATGTAAAGATAAAATCTTTTTGTAGAATAGTATATCGCAAGAACTGAATGAGAGTATTTCAAAAAAATGTTAAGATGAACTATAGCTGCTATTTTGACAGAATTATTCTCAGATAAAAAAATACATGAAACAACTCAATTTTTATGTTCATTTTCAATATTATCTTCATTTTAATAGTACACATAAATAGAATGTTTAAAATCGCTAAAATACGAGTCTACTATTATCATGTTATCCATAATATCGACAGTTTTTTTCAAAAAACATGTCTTCACTAGTCAATAGAATTTTCCAAACTCTATCAAATAATGTATAAAACGATATTTTTAATTGATTCTAATATTAGAATAATTAATTTTTTTTCCACTAGACGTTCAATAATTATGTAGCATGAATTATGATTTATTAATAATAAAATAGTATAAAAGCAAGTCATCTTTAATATAATTTTTTGCATGACATGATATCTAAAAATAATTCTCTAGAGAACTACACTAAAATCAACTAACTCTAACATTCATTTGATACACTAGAAAGAATTTGTAAAATGTTCTCCGACATAAAATATTTAATTAATTTTAAACTTAATTAATAATTCATAAAATTAGTTAACCGGATTTTTTTTATTCCGTACACATATCATTGAGGATATCCTCTATAGACAGACAAAGGTTCAAGTTAGGTTAATGTAACTACCCTTTTCCTCCGTTCTCTCCTAAATTTCAAAGTAAATATGATATTTAGTTTGTATACGGTTGTTTTTTTCTTAAGATATCATAGATAATACAATTGAAGAGATAATTGAGAAACGTGGCATAGTATTCGCCAACCTATCAACATGTTTTAGTGCCATGACATGTTTCAACAGAACAATAATTATAAATAAAAATATTATACTATTAGAATTAATTGATGATGCAAAAAATTTGAAGGATAATCTAATTATGTTTGGAGCATTATTAGTGATTATGTTACATGAATTTTTTCATGTTTTACGTTGTACAACAATAGAACATGCATTCAATCCATTTTATGAACGAACACCACCTCGAAAAATTCCATCACGTCACAATATAGAAATGGCTGAAGGTGGTAAACAATTAGAAGATTGTTTATTTGGTATTGTATGCGAAAGTGTTGGTTATCTCGATGGAGAATTTTTATTAAATTCTCAAAATTGGATTAATCATGATCATGAAGAATTTAAAGAAAAATTTAATGATGCAAGAACACGTGATTTACAAGAAAATAAAAAACATAATCGATGGATTATACCATGTAAATCTCATATAATTCATGATGATACGGAAACGCACGTTCCAACAACAACAACAACAACATCTTCAAAACGATGGACAATACCTCGATGTGCATTGTCAACACCGTTCTCTCGCATTGAACAATAGGCCATTTTTTTTAAACATTCAGTTTATTGTTCCATAAAGGTTAACATTTGATAAGAACATAAATCTATACGCACATTACCAAGATATATATTTAAAAAAAAAAAGGAAATCCTTCTACCCATAAAAATCAGATTTAAAATCTTTGTCATGATTCACATACATATTTATTTATTTACGATGGTTTAACATAGAAATATTTCAAGACAAAGTATTCTAGAGTTAAGCTTGATTTTTTGAAAAATGCATATTGTTCTCTATGAATATCAATAAAAGATATCACATCCTGGTATATATGTTTTGCACATTCAGCAAGTCTTTTAAGGAAACGACTATTTTTCCTAAAGCTCTTACTATTGTAATACTTTTTAAACGGAGATTTCGTAACGAAGTAAGCTGTCAACATTTGTCTGTAAGTGTCTGGTTGAGGGGCTGTATCTAAATAGTTTTTAAACCTTATTCAATATTTAAATAAATAGTCATGCAAAGAAAGTTCGCGACTTAACACGAGTGTAGCGAAATCATCATAACCCGAAAGGGAATACACCAACCTTAAACCTGTTCCAAAAACGTGTTCAATTTTTTGTTTTTGTTTGTCGATAAAATGAAAAAAACAAAAAAATAGCTAGATGAATTGAGAAAAAGAAAAAGCTAGAAATAGTCTTCTTCTTATCTTAATCTCGTTTTGAGGGATTGTATCGAATATTTTTCTCAAGCCATTGTATGACTTCCTTACTTTTTTCAATTTTAGTTTCCATGTCGCCATTATCTTTTTTTATTAGAATTAACAATCGAACATTTATTTTTAAATTTAATTTAACAAATTTATTTTTATTAAAGATTCATCTATTCATCCGTTTTTTTTCTATACAAATAAAAAAAAACCCTCGAAAGTATAATTAATAAATATATGTTAAATAGAATTCTCATAGAATTCTAACTATATTTTAAATAAATAAGATTTTTATTTTTATTTAAAATAAATATCTTTCAATTGTTTATTTAAATATATTAATAATGAAACAATGTAAGAGAATAAAAATATTTTATTTTATTTAAAATATTCTCATATCAATATTCCTAACTCTTCATTTTCTTCAATTATGTTTATCTTTTTATTAGTTTAATTATTTTATAGTTTTATCAATAATCTTTCTAAAACAATAATTATTTCTAAAACAATAATTAGTTCGATATTATCTTTATTTAACTTTATTCGTATGTTTCTTTTTTTCGAATAATGAATTTCGTTTAAATGATATAAGAGTTATTTTATCCTCATAGATTAATATTATTTAACTAATCAATATCGAAACAACAAACGTTTTTTATTTAAAAGACTCAATTTATTTAAGAATAATTAACGAGAGTTAAATCGTTTAAATAACTTTTGTCTTTATTTTAATATTATTAAATAGTTCGGGTATAACAAAACTAGTCCTAATTCTACTCTTATAATATAGTTACAATTAAATTGTTCATTTATTAAATAACAAATAAATATATTAAAATGTATATTTTTTTAAAAAAAATTTTATTTTTTTTCTATAAAATAATTTCGATTTAATAAAACTGATTGAAATATTCTTTGAGATAAATATGTTCTTATTTAAAAATTTCAAAAGGATAATATTTTCAAAGAGAATTTTCTTGATGATGACAATATTCATATTGTTTTAGAATTGTAATACGAAAAAAATTTTCTAAGTTTATCAGAGTTAGAATCACGTTTCAAAGTGAAAATGTTTGACTCCGTCTTAATAAAACACACTCTTCTTCTTCAATACAAATCATCATCTCTATAGATTTGGAAAAAAATACACAAGAATCACCTACAACACAGAAAAAAAAACAATATATATATATCCCTCTTCTAACGCATTCTCCTCTCATCTATCACATGGCAATCATGCTCTTCTACTTAGAGAATGACTCATGTGAACAGTGGCGGGAAAAGAGGGAAATAAAAGAACAAAAAAAAGAAAAAAAAATAAGCAAAGAATGCAACGAAGACTGTTTAGAAACTGATCTAGAAGATTTGGCATGACCGATGGGCATGACACTTCGCTACTAATTACTCATACGGAGTTGACAAATAAATAAAATATTTCCAAATATTGAATCATAATCAATAAAGATCAACCCAACGAAGAACCGCATCAGTGGTACCGTTCAGCATATATTATGGATGCATCAATTTCAGTCGAATTGTTTATCCATTTCTTTTGTCTATACAATTAACTGATAAAGAATTTATTTGATAATCATTATTTCGGTTTTTGACTAAACCTTTTCAGAATGAGGAATCCTGAATCTGAAATGAAAATTTCAAAATTTCGAGTCAGATTTTTCCACTAAAAAAAGTTAGTTTATGAAAAAGTTCTATTTTTTTGGCAAAAAAAGTTAAACTGAAAATTTTGAAATTTTCATTTCAGATTGAGATTCGTTGATCCCGAAAATCTTTGGTCAAAAACTGAAATAGTGATTATCGAATAAATTCTTGGTCAGTTAATTGAATATCCAATAGAAATGGATACTCAATTGGACTAGAACTGGTGCATCCTTAATAGATGTTAATAGAGTGCTCAAAGATGCGGAAGATACCACCCATATACTATTCCGCTTGGCACCTCGGCATCCTTTCAAAAGGTAACCAGCATCTGAGTACCTTTCAATCATTTTGGGTGATAAGGTGTTCTAGTTTCTCCCTTGGACGAAAGACATTAGCATTATATTAAATATTAAAATAAAGAAGAAAAGAGCAGATTGAATAAGTCTACTGGAGTCCGTTGAACTCTGATTTAATCTTTTGAAATATTTCTTAGATTTATCGAATCTATAAAAAAAACAAAGCATTATTTTAAACATATTTATCGATTAATCTCTAAATACAATTGAATTTAATTCTATTCGAAATAGTTTCTTAATTTAATAAATCGATATTGGAATGCTATTTATCCGTAAAAAGTATTTTATAAGATTATTTATTTATTGTTGGGCATATTGACAAAGTAATACCAAAACAAAAATGATAATAAATAAATGAAAGAAGATATTTTTATAATTAATAATAATATTATTGAATAATTGTTTAATGAATGAATTTATTATTTAAAAAATATTATTTACATAATTATTTTCTTGATAAACATAAGAAAAATTTCAAAATGAAATATATATTAATTAATTAAATAAAACTTCTGATCAACTAAGAAAAATAATTATGGAATTTATATTGAACGAAAAAAAAAACGCCGAATAATATATTTGATAAAAATGAAAAAAAAAAGCATTAATTTGAAATTTTAATAATATAAATACTCATATTATCAGTTGATCCTAAAATAAAAGATTGATCTAATAATTGAGATGCAATATCTTGAATAGATGTATTTGATGCTTTTTGAGAAACAAATTGTGCAACTTGTTCATTTGTCATAACATCCCAAATTCCATCACAAGCAATAATAACAAATGATGCTGATGAATTAATTGGATATTGAATAATATCAGGTGATGCTGGAATAAATCGTTTATCTAATGTATAATCTCCTAATGTTCGACTAATAGCAAGTTTATATTCAACACGTGGTACATCATTTTCACATTGAGTTACTCGTCCTCCAGCTTTTTCAATACGTTTTTTTTCTTGTTCAACACTTGGTTTATGATCTTTTATTTAATTAATTTTATTTATATTAATAAATAAAATAAAATAAAGTAAAATATGATTAATTACCTTTTGTAGATGCTAATACTTGTCCATTATTTGAAATAATTATTCCACGAGAATCGCCAAGATTAATTAAATAAATATATAATGGTCCAATTAAACATACTATCTAAATAATTAAATAATAAAACAAAAATAAAAACAAATAAATAATTAAATCGATAAACATACACAAACAGATCCACTTTGATCATTAACTAAAGTAGATAAATGTTTATCTAATTGAAGAAATTTATTTTTAATAATATAACTAAATTGATTTATATTAAATTGAGATTTGTCAATTAATTCATTATTTGGATTTAGTCGAATTTGATTTAATGCATCAATTATATATTTATCAACAAGATTAGCTGCATTTTTTGCTGTATCAATACCTAACAAAAAAAGGAAAAAAAAAATTTAAATAATAAAAAAGAAATCGAAAACCATTATGTCCATCAAAAATCGAAAAATAAGACCAACGTTTCCATGATTGATCATCAATTGGTATTAAATGTTTATGAAAATCTTCATTTGATGTTCTCCATCCTTGCATTCCAGCAAAAGCAAATAATTGATTATAAGTAATATCTTTTCTTGTTTTTGGATAATATGAAAAAATATTTTTTTTTATTTTATCATCACTTTTTTTCTCAAACATTTCTTAACAGAAAAAAAAACAGAATTTATTTTCAATAATAGAATATATTATATTCACTCCAAATCAATTTTTAATAGAATCTTATTCACATACTAGAATTAGTTGCCATTTAGTTTTTTTTTCCTACACTTTCTAATCCAATTATATTTAAAATGATCCAATCCTTTTCTTGACACCGACTCTTCCTATGATTATTCAACCTTTGTTTTTTTTGTTTTCTTTTTATCATTCCTCAATTTGGTTATTCTCTTTCTATTCTTTTATATATTCGTCTAAACAAATCTGTTTATTATGTAAATTTGTTTTCAACCTTACTCACATATATAAAATGCGTATTTTATTCTCACCTTTATCTCGAATATCTTTGCCACATGTCAATGCATTTTACAAACAGTTTTTTTTAAAACTTATTTGAAAATCGTCTCATTTTATTTAAAAACTATTTTTATTTGTTTTTCCTATGATAAAATCTGATATATCAATATTGATCAAATTTACAATAAATAGGATATATAATCAGTCTGGTTAAATATGATAAATATCTCGATAGGATTCTCTCTATATATACGTGAAGAATTATTCTAATTGATATATAATCATATTGTTTATTTTGGATATATTTCTTGA